GTCAGAATGGCCCCCACGTACATTTTCTTCTCAGCAGAGGTCTGTATAAGCCAACTATTGTGAGGGAAATGGAATGTATTATTGGCCTGATATTGAAATTTCAAGAACTTACCTTTCAAATGCTTTAGCCCCACGAGGGAACGACTATTGAGAATCACCTTCTTGCCTATTTTACAAACATATGTAAGGCACTCACAACCTGCAGAAATCAGACAGCGGGGCTGTGGGTCACCGCAGCTGTGGGTCACCGCTGTTGCTCCCTGGAGCGAGGGAGGTTTGTCAGAGTCCATTGTCTGCTGTTGTAGATTCCTTGTCTTGGTAGTCGTTTGTCCAGCCTGGGAGCAATCTCCAGTTACCTACTACTGTCCTCATGGTAAGGGCGTTTGCCACGCCAGCTTTTGGGAGACAGACATCAGAGGCCGAGGAATATTGATCCTCCACTGATGTTCCCCCCAAATCTCAGCCCTGTAAGGGCGTGGGTGCCAGGGTAACCGCCTTGTGTCCCGGGCATGCATTTGTAGGCTTCTGGTGGCCTGGGTCTCTCAGACCCCCACCAGGAGCTGCCAAAATCAAAGGGAGTGGCCCTTGGGATCAGCAAAGCCTACCCCGCCCCGGCCTCTGGCATGCTTTTTGATTTTGTTAAAAGACATAGATCTCTGAGTCAGAATGTATCCGTGTCTCAGGAAATAATTTGAAATATATTATTCAGTATAATTTGAGTAATTTCAAAGAGAAAAGAAAAACAGGATTGACCAATGTTGCCTTAAAAACCTTGAATTGGGGTGCCTTCCTTTTTCTTTTCTTGCCCCCTCCAAAAAGAACAAAAACAAAAAATATGATTTGAATGAGCACTCATGAAAATATCTTGAATCATTAGCCAAGAAGACTCTCTAGTGCCCGCTCCTGAGCAGTATTATTGGTGAACTCCCACCGTGACCAGGTCAGGGAGATGGTCACGTGGTGTGTCACCAAGGGCTGCTCTCCAATACTGACGGTGCACTTAGCCCACGGCGGGAGGGGAGAAGAGATGAGGAAGACCAAAGCAAAACTGCACCAGGGGTGATGGGGACTCGGGACCCTCGCATTGCATGGTTTGTTTGTTTTTTTTCTTTCTGCGATCTGCTTAGAATAATCTTTGTATTCAGGTTCATTTTCAGATCTTAACCCAAGCTGTTTTAGTTCTTCTGGATACCTGTCCTCTAATTTTAGCATTGAATAGAACAATGACCTAATTCATTTTTCTATCCCAATCTTTTTTTTTTTTTCTTTTGGTCTAACTTTTCTATCCTAATTGGTTTTTTTTTTAGTCTATTCCTATCTTTTTTTTTACATCAGCAGGTAAGAAAATCATCAAGACTACCATTTATATCATCAACCAAGTGAGCCACTAAAGCTTATAAATGCCCTTTGTTTTAAAGATAACCCATATGTAGTTATGTAAACATTAAAAACAACAACAACAACAACCCTATCACCTTAACTGCCTCAGCCCCTTGGTGAGGTGGTATAGCCATGTTCCCAGATGACATTCTATGTGTGAAGTTCCTTCTAAATCAGAGAGAAATCGGATTCCTTGATTCAAATCACTGGTATACAAAGTTAGACTAATCAGTAGATTCAAAGCAATCATTACATTACATCTCCATATGAGACCACCTGATACATTGGAAGATGGAGCCAAATGTTCTTGATGCTGTGGATCTGCAGTTCTCTACCAGGAGAGATATGAAAACACACCCAGACCTAACCTCACCCCAGGCCAATTAAATCAGTCTTTTGGGTTAGGATCTCAGAATTTTTTTTAATTTTATTTATTTAAAGTCAGTTAATTAACATTAGTGTATTATTAGTTTCAGATGTGTAGAGTTCAGTGATTCATCAATCTCGTATAATACACAGTGCTCATTACATCACATGCCCTCCTTAATGCCCATCACCCAGTTACCCATCTCCCCACCCTCCTCCTCTCCAGCAACCTTTTTGGTTTCCTAGAGTTAAGAGTCTCTTATGGTTTGTCTCCCTCTCTGATTTCATCTTATTTTATCTTTCCCTCCCTTCCCCTATGACCCTCTATTTTATTTCTTAAATTCCACATACAAGTGAAATCATACAGTATTTGTCTTTCTCTGACTGACTTATTTCGCTTAGCATATGCAAGCTGGTGCAGCCACTCTGGAAAAGAGTGTATGGAGGTTCCTTAAAGTTAAAAATAGAGCTGCCCTATGACCCAGCAATTGCACTACTAGATACTTACCCAAAGGATACAAACATAGTGATTCAAAGGGGCACCTGCACCCCAATGTTTATAGCAGCACTATCAACAATAGCCAAAATATGGAAAGAGCCCAGATGTCCATTAACAGACGAATGGATAAAGAAGATGTGGTATATATACACAATGGAATATTATTCAGCCATCAAAAAGAATGTTATCTTGCCATTTGTAATGATGTAGGTGGAACTAGGGGATCTAAGAACTTTCTAAAAGCTACACACATATGCAGCCAGAGTTGAGAACCATGGTCCTCAGTAGAGAACAGTTACTGGAGGCCAGGACAGCATTCTGGTTACCTAGGGAAATGGGCTGAGTTGAGATACAAAGCATTGAGTCTGGGAAACAGAGGAGTGATTTGCCTAGTGGTTGGTAGCAGCTCCATCACAGCGTTCTGAGGCCTGCATGATCATCACTCTCATTCTGAAGAGACCCTTGCAAAAGATGGCCCCCCACTTTCAATGTATTGGAAAGGAGTAAAACCAATGTGCTTTCCAGCTTCTACAGATAATCTCCGAAACATCAGTCGAGGAGGGGATTCGTGCATATATGATATATTAATATTATTTAATATTTAGATACATTTTAATAATAAATAATACAGTTTATACATATGCATACAGACTGATTCATTTATTCATTGAGCTCCTGCCATGTCCCAGGTAAACACACTAAGGAAATCATAGTAAACCGTAACAGCCGTGTTTCCCTCCAGGGGGAACTGGAATGAAGTAATAACAAGGGAATCTAAAGCTAAGAAAGGGTAAGTGAGCTGCCCTTGGGAACTTGCCCCGAGCCTGGAATATCTCTGGGGTGACTCCTATCGGGCACTGAAGAGAGAGGTAGTTTTTCTTCTGTAGGCACATGCCTTCCATGATGCTGGAGTATCTGATTCATCCACTATAACCACTGTCATCAGAACTGTTTCTGGAACTTTCAGAGTAGGTGGCACAGGCCTGTGTATCTAGTGAAGGAAGCAGAAAGTGTCTGGGCTACCCCTTTGTTTGGAGGGTATGCTGGGAAGACTATCTGTTTACACAAAAATAGACTCGGTATTTTTTTTTTCTTGTGAATAAGTGACAAGCTGTGAATATTCTTTTCCACAAGCTAGAAAGGTAGTAATAGAGAAGATCCAATGTTTACTTGTCCCCTCTGTAACCTTAGACTGAAGTTATTGAAATCTTCAGCCCATACATCAAGAGAATGGCACACACATGCCAAGGGACATGGGCTGAAATGTCAGGCTCAGCTTTGTGAGAGGCGGTGTGCATGGTCCTATAATGGGACGAGCCTCAGAGACATCAGAAGGTGGAGTCAGTTTTCACAGGAAGGGTGAGTGTGTAGTCAGAGCAGCGAGGAGGAATGACAGAAGCCTGTGTTGTGGACAGATGGGAAGGAGGTTTTGATGGCAAAGCAGGAGAAGAAAAATTACACAAGAACCAGCTGATAATTGGTCAAGATAATTGGTCACTTGAAGGTGACTGAAGGGGGCTTCCAGGTGTGCCACCATTGCTCAGTGTCCAAACCTTAGCCAAGGAAGAACCATTCATAAATATCTTTAAACACACCTTGCCTTTGTTCTAATGCTCTGCTATTTATAAAATGCCTGGTATGCATTAACTCCATGGATCCTCAAAATAACCCTGAGAAGTGTTATTGAAATCAGTATGTAGATAAAGAACGATGATGACACTGAAGCTCACGGTGGCTAACTTGTCCAAAATCACACAGCCAGTTAAAAGGCAGAGGCAAATCTCAAATCCAAATATTTGAGCTTCCAATCCAGTAATCTGCAATGTCAAGATCCTAAGGTACGATTGGGTCCTGGTCCCAGCATGTGCCTGAATATTTATTTGTATGATTTCACACGTATCATTGGACTCTCATGCCTTTGAAGTTATACTCCTCTCATTTCCTTGCATTTCTGCTTGTGTTATAAAGATTTATACTGTGACGCTCACACCCTCAAATATGCGTGAGCATAGGGTAGAGATTAGGGTTTTTACAAATCTGGATTCAAAGAAATTTTATATTCCAACTTCCTATGCCTGCTAGTATCTATAGACATGACGTTTTATAATGCCTGTCTCCCCTTTTTCTTCCCAGTCCATAAGAAAGAGCTTTTGAATACTCAGATCTCAAGAGCTGAGCCCAAGATGCTGATCATGGTCAGTGACAGGAAGTACAACTGCTTAAAGTCTAACTTCTCTCTCACTTTTGGAAGTCAGGTGGAAAAAAAAAAAAAGAGGATTACTCTGACAGCACAGAATAAGAAAAATATTAGAAACAAGAAAAGGCCATTTTTCCTATAGAGGCTCATTTCATTCTATCTGCCATTTCCCTGGGATATCTGCCAGTTGTTAGCAGGAAGAATAATGTTACCCACTTTTTAAAAATTTCACTCTTGAGTATTATGGAGATAAATAGCTAAATGATGGAGAAATAACTTTCTTTCACAGCAGTAGTTTAAGCGGGGTAGAAAGAGCTCAAATGCAGATACGTTTGATGACATGAGAAAATTCAACCATGAATGAAAAATTCAGTATTTCTATAGGTGCTGTTTGAGAAAGAGTCCCATTTGCATCAACGCTAGAAAGGAGAGCCAAGTCCATCTATAAGAGTGAGGGGACTGCCTGTGGATATTAATCATTTTACTTGCAAGCCCCAGAAATTTTCCAGTTGCAAACTTATAAAAAAAAAAAAAAGCCTATGTTCCATTTTGCTGCAGGACCAATGCAAGAGACCATCTATGACTTCTGGAGGATGGTGTGGCACGAAAACACCGCAAGCATCGTAATGGTCACCAACCTCGTGGAAGTGGGAAGGGTAAGTCGGCTCTCCACCTACACTGCCACGTGTTCCTTGCTCAGCTGGTAACATGAAGTAAGGCAAGAATAGGCTTTTGAAGTATCATGTATACTCCAGAAATCATGAACTACTGCACTGCCTCCTATTGCTTGCTTCACTTGCTTATAAATCATCAGTAAACATAGACTGAATTGCTTTCATTTGTTGCGATAGCAACAGACAGGAAAGGCACTCGAGATTTAAAAGCAGTTGTTATCTGGCTATATTGAGCACACAAAAACACCCCTAAACACGAACACTTGTTGTTGGGTGTCAAAACTCAATGGGCGCTGCATTAGACATGACTGCATTCTAACTCGGGAAAATTGACTCTAAAAAGTGTACAGCACTGGGTGCAATCATTAGCAGGGCATTCCTGCATCTCCTCTTGCTTACTTTTTCCTTTCCTGGTCCTCTGTTTCTTAACCTGTAAAACAGAGAACATCATCTGCGCCCAAAGTCTTGTACTGCTTTATCTGGAGGAACTGGTAATGAGAGCTATTTTTGTTTAACCAGGAAATGCTTCCATAGTTATGACCTCGGTAGTGGTGGGATTATTTCCAAAGTGGAATTTAAAAATGAGAAAATACACAGGGTGCAGTTGCTTTGTTTTATAGTAGGGTCTATGGCTCTGCTCCACTCAAGAACCCTTTACTTCTTAGAGAAGGTTGACCTTCTGAGATTGACCCTCAGCAGCAAGGGCAGCCTGGAGATTAAGCCTAGAAGTGAAATATGGGGGCAGACGCCATCCAGGGGTTGTTTCTTAAGATTCTTGGTCAGCCTTAAAAAATGGGGAAATCCTGCCAACGTGGATGAACCTGGAGGACATCATGTTAAGTGAAATAAGCCAGTCACAAAATACATGATTCTACTTATATGAATTTTCCAAAATAGTCACATTCATAGAAGCAGAGGATACCATGGTGGTTGCCAAGGGCTGGGTGGGAGGAGGGAGAAATGTGGAGTTGATGTTCAGTGGGTACAAAGTTTCAGTTACACTAGATGAGTAAGTTCTGGAGTTCTGCTGGGGGAAATAGTGCTTACAAAGTTAACAGTATGGTTTTGTTAGGAGGGTACATCTCATGTTGAGTGTTCTTACAAAAAATGAAACAACAAAGGGACACCGGAAACCTGGGGAGGCATTGGATATGTCTATTACCTTGATTATAGTGATGCCATCAGGATGTACGCATAGTCGAAACTCATCAAGTTATACCCATGAAGCACTGTATGTTGTAACTGTATATCAATTATACTTCAATAAAGCTCTTTCCAAAAAAAGATTTTCAGAAGTATCAGGAGATGCAACTCAAGAAGAGAGACATTAAGAAGTAGGAGATACTTCGAATTCTAGCAAAAATAGCAAACTAAATAATCTGAAAACCCTCCTCCTACAAACATCTAGAAATTCTAGATAAAATATAAATGTGTTTTCATATGTTTGTATGTAATATACGTATAAATCACGTGTAAATGTAAATATATATGTTAAAAATGTTTAGCTTAACTCTCAAAAAAGGAAACTACTAGAAACCAGAAGAATGAGGACCAGACAGGGAGTGGACACAGCCACTATTCTCTGGAGGCTGGGCGGGTGGGGAGGGTCAGTCTTGGAGGGAGTGGGGGGCGGGCCTCAACCTTCGCAATCGTGGATCTTGGGTTTTACAGCCCACTGAGAACAGAAGATAATGTCTTAGGCCTGTGCAGGACTAGGAATTTGAACTGAGGCTGCCACAAAAGGTAGACACTCAGAGAAAGGACTGTCCAGGGGAAGGTGGAGGGAGGTAGAAGGGGGAAAGCCAGCCGGACACCAGAACCGGGAAGTAAAAAAGAGGCAGATCAGTCTTCACTGAGGATCTAGGTGAGAAAGCACTTCCACCAACTCATGGGTCAAAGTAAAATGCCCTGATATAAATCAGAACATAGTTTGAACCTGAATAAAGAAGTATCAAGAGAGTAAACTTATAGGGTGCAAATAAAATAGTACCTAAAAGGATGTATATGTTTTAAATGTTGTTAGAAAAGGAGAGATATTAAGTATCTAATTCAAGAAGATATGTGAAGAACAGAGTACAACTAAAGAAAAGAGGAAATAATAAATAGAAGAGCAGATAATTATTAAGTAAAAAGCAAAGAAACAATAATAAAAAATCAACAGAATCAAAAAGGCTTTGTGAGGAGATTCATGAACTAGACAGACATCTGGCAATCTGAAGTAAAAAATAGAAAGCCAAAACCTCTTGATATTTGGAATAGGGTAAAGATTCTTTTATCATAATAGATAAGATGGTAACTAACAATAAATTTGAAATTGACATAAATTAGGTAAGTTTCTTAACAAATATGATTTTCCAACACTTACTCAAAAAGAAACAAATTCTGAACAGACATTGATTAAAAAGTGAATTATGGTTAAAAACTAACCCATGGAAACCAGTCCCAAATGTATTTATAGGTGTGTTCTACTAAATATTTCAAGGAATGGAGAATCTGGATCTTATAAAAATTGTTTGAAGAGAAGAGATAAAGCAAGACTGCTCCCCTACTTTATTTTAGAAGACTAGTATAACCTTGACATCAAAACCAGACAAGGACATAGGAAAATAGAAAATTATAAGTCCATAAATTGGGAAGAGAGAAATAGACCAACAGGTCAAAATAGCCCAGATGTTGACTATGGCCATATGTGGAGAAAGCATGAGCTTCACAATGAGATGAGTTGGGACATTTGGTTATTGATGTGGACAAAAAAGAAAAAATCATAAAACATCCAAAAATGAATACCAAATAAAGACCAAAATAAAGCTTTAAGCTTTAAAACTTAAGTTAACTATAAATTAAGCTTTAAAACTTTTAGAAGAGGGGTGCCTGGGTGGCTCAGTTGTTAACATCTGCCTTAGGCTAGGGTCGTGATCCCAGGGTCCTGGGATCGAGCCCTGCATCGGGCTCCCTGCTCTGCAGGAAGCCTGCTTCTCCCTCTCCCCCACTCCCCCTGCTTGTGTTCCCTCTCTCGCTGTCTCTCTCTCTGTGTCAAAAAATAAATAAAATCTTTTAAAAAAATAAAAATAAAATAAAACTTTTAGAAGAAAATATGAAGGAAAATATTTATGATCTTTTTTTTAAAAGAATGTTTCAAAGATACCAAAAGTTCAACATTCTAAGGAAAGAAATGGGACATCTGACCATATTAAAATAGAAAACTTTCTGTACGATAAAAGATATAATGTGATAAGACAATGGGATAGATACCAGGAGACCAATACGTGAAGTACAAAAACTTACAAAGCAATATTTTATGTCCCAAAAATACAAAAACTGTTTCTTGTCTTTCAGTTCCCTCTGCTGGAACACAGAGCAGGGGAGCTGGCTTAGAGACTGGGGTGGCAGGTGCTCCCTGGATACCTGGCCTAGAAGGGGCCACCCAACCTCTCTGCCACCCACCTTTCACCTGGGTAGTGGGGATGTCATGGCACCTGCTTCATAGGGTTCTTGTAAACATTAAGTGAATTTCTACGCGTCAGGTGGTTAGAGAATTTCCCAGCCCATTCTGAGGACTTCGTAAATATAGGTATTAGTGTCACCCTTACCTTTCCACCAACAAACCTAAGACCTACAGTGATGTCTATAGTTATCTTTTTCATCCCATTCTTTTGCTGTGAAAGCAGTAATGACTCCTGAAAAATAAATGTTCCACGCCACCAGAATTTTTGGTCTCTGCCTTCTGGCACTCAGTAACTGCCCAATGAAATGAATGAAGGAGATTTCTTCCAGTTCAGTGTCAGAGAGCAATTAGCCTATGCTAGGTTAACATGGAAGAGCTAAGCTAAAGAAGGTCTCCGTTTTCGTGTACATGGGTTTCTTTCCCTGAAATGTATGTTTGGTGGATTCTGAATCCTGTGTTCATTTCACAAATACCTGCTGCCTGCTTGTGGACGATAAGGAGAGAGATAACTGGAAACTGCTGGCACAGTGCCTTATATTCGCCGTGACGGTACTCCTTAAAAGTTATTCACCACCTCAAATTGCACATATTTGCATTTGCATTTTGAGTTACCTGGCTTTGGAAAAAGAAAAACTAAAGGCCATGCGGTGGTGGTCTGTTCCTTCCATCAGGCACCTGGACCCACCCCGTATAGGATAGTCACTGTTGGTTCTTGGGATGGAAACTATTCCTTCGGACAAGTAACCATGGAAATCCCAGCTTTTAAAAGTATGCAGGGGAGAGGGTGACTAGGTTTCAGGTTTACCCATAAATGAAAGCCCATAGACTTAAAGAAACTCAATAATTTTAGGTCTGGTAAGCTTATTAAAAAACAAAAAATCCTTCCGAATCCATACCAGGTTTGTGGGGATGTGGTCAGCTCTGAAGAATGCTCACCTCGTTACCCGTCAGCTCCATGGATGGGTCCGCCTTCAATTAGTAATGAATTTAATGGCATCTGTCCTTGAAATGCCTGGTGTGATTTGGGGGTTTTGACAAGAGGTCACATTCCCTCCGGGAAAACGCACTACCCTTTTCCCAAGCCACTTCCCATTGTTAATCCCGCACATTTGTTTAGAGATTACTTCCCCATTTTCCATGCTTAAAAACAGCAACAACAAACTGCCGAAGAAATTAAAATGACATGGTTTTTAAGGGCAGCAACTACCTACTTACCATGTTTACTGCGCATGGTGTGTCCTTCATGAATTAGGCATGAGCTAGGCGGATGCCTGTTTGTTTACACAGGCTTGCTGCTGATTCATTAAGTCAGAGCTGGGAACCTGCTTTCCCCTGATTTTTGCCCCGAAGCGCTCTGCATTAGGCGGCTGTAATTGCCGGTGCTGGAGCCCCTGGGAAGCCCTCCCTGTCGGCAGCACCTGGTGCCGAAGACACAGACGCTGCACTTCCCTCCAGCGGGGTCCCCGGTACAGCTGCCAGGACCTGTCATTATCTAAGACTTCCTTGTCACCACCGTGCATCGCCTTTCAGCCCGTAT